CGGTATTGTTTATTATAAATTAAATCATCATGGCGCCAACTATCATATATAGATTTTCTGTATTCTTTATTCATGCACGGAAATATAAATATTTTTTGTTTTATATAAACTATGTCTTTTGGGTGAGGCCTGATTCCTTTTTTATATAATTGTAGTGCAGAGAGAAGTATATGTGAAAAAGAAGAATCCTTGTCTTTGTCTTTGTCTTTGTCTTTATTTTTATTTTTTTCTTTGTCTTTGTCTTTGTCTTTGTCTGTATATTTTATATTTTGTTGGTGTTGTGTGGTTGTATTTTTATTTAATAAAGAAAAAGAAACAGCAGAAGGAGAGAAAGCATGAGGAGAAAGAGAAAAAGAAAAAGGAGACAAAGACAAAGACAAAGACAAAGACAAAGAATTAAATAAATAAGGCCACCATTTGTGGGGTTTTAATTTGTCTCCTAATAAGCTGACTATACACCACAAAGCATCAGCAACCAAAAATTTTTTTATTATTGTTTCTTTATTTTTATATAAAAAAGAAAAATATAAACCACCACGTAAATATCTATTTGTATACTCCATCAGTTGCTGCCCGAGCATCAGCAGCTGCTGCATATCTTCTCTCTCTATCTTTTTTTTATTTAATATAATACGTACACTATCTAGCTGCGCCCCTATACTAATATGCATGCTCCCAGCAGCAGCCCACAATAAAGAAAAGTCAAAGCTGCTTGCTGCTGCTGCTGCTGCTGCTGCATCGCAGCTAGGCAAACGATAGAAAGGGTGGTTTAGATAGTATGATATATCTAGCTCCTCTTCTGCTGCTGCTGCTGCTGTTGCTGCTGCTGCTGCTGCTGCTGCTGCTGCAGGGGAATATGCTGCTGCTGCTGATGCTGATGCTGGAAATGCAGCAGATGTAGATGGCTGCTCATCGTCCTCCTCCTCTTCCTCCTGTTGCTGCTGCTGCTGCTGCTGCTGCTGCTGCTGTTGCTGCTGCTGCTGCTGCTGCTGCTGCTGTTGCTGCTGCTGCTGCTTCTGAAGCATATACACACATAATAACACATATAAATGTAAATCTTTAAAAAATAAAAAATAAATAAAATAAATAAAATAAATAAAATAAATAAAAGCAAAAAAAAAAATAAAATAAAAAGACAAAGAACTATACACAGCAGCAGCAGCAGCAGCAACGCAGCAGCTGCCCCCCCACTAAAACAGCAGCAGCTGCAGCAGCAACTGCAGCACCAGCTGCAGCAGCAACTGAGAACTGCAGCAGCAACTGCAGCAGAAGCAGCAGCAGCTGCTGCTGCTGCTGCAGCAGCAGCAGCAAGAGCATCATATTGGCCTTCTCACTTGTTCTTCTTGGCTGCTTTCTTCTTTTTCTTTTTCTTTTTCTTTTTGTATTTTTTGTTTTTGTTTTTGTTTTTGTTGTTTTTGTTGCTGCAGCTCCTCTGCTCCTGCTTGTTGCTGTTGCTGTTGTTTTTGTTGCTGCTGTCTGCGTTGTGCTTTCTGTTTCTCTCGCTGCTGCTGCTGCTGCTGCCCCTGCAGCAGCAGCACCTGCTGCTGCTGCTGCTGCTGCTGCTGCTGCTGCTGCTGCTGCTGCTGCTGAGGGGGAGAGGAGAAATCTGCTGCTGCTAGCCACTGCTGCACTTTATGTTTGCTTGGAAGCGGCTGCATCAACACGAGAGAGTGAGCAACAGAAGAGCCAGAAGCAGCAGCAGCAGCAGCAGCAGCAGCTGCTGCTGCTGCTGCTGCTGGGTCAGCAGATGCTGATCCTCCTGCTGGTACTACATGTAGTGTTGCTGTTTGTTGTGCTGCTGCTGCTGCTGCTGCTGGTGCTGCTGCTGCTGTTGCTGCTGTTGCTGCTGCTGGTGGTACTTGCATAGGAGTAAAGGAGACAAGCTGACTTGGTCCTGCTGCTGCTGCTCCTGCTGCTGCTGCTGCTGCTGCTGCTGCTGCTGCTGCTGCTTCGTCTGCGATGCGGGCCCGCTTTGCTGCTGGCCCCTCCAGCTGAGCGAAGAAGGCCTCCAGCTCCTGCAGCAGCAACTCAGGCAGCACGAGCTCCTCTTGGTTGTTGTTGCTGCTGCTGCTGCTGCTGTTGCTGTTGCTGTTGCTGTTGCTGTTGCTGGTGCAGTAGCTGTTGCTGCTGCTGCTAGCAGCAGCAGCAGCAGCACGATACAGGGGCTGCTGCTGCTCCTCCAAATCAATCCAACTAAGAGAAAGAGAATCATCAGAGTCTGCTGCTGCTGCTGCTCCTGCTGCTGCTGCTCCTGCTGCTGCTGCTGATGCTGGTGCTGCTGCTGCAACAGAAGCACCTAAAGGCAGTACAAATGGTGT